AATATCCAACGCACATGGCACCCTTTAACATGAAATGAGACGCAGATATATTTGGGCAGATGGCGCCCCCTAGTGGTCTAACCCTTACCCCACACCATACCTAAACTTAACCATTAACCGAAGCGTCTCATTAGACGTTAAAGGGTGCCATGTGCGTTGGATATTTACGCTTTTGCAAAAGCGTCCTATATGGCGCTTTGGGATGAGAACGCGTTGGTAGCTCAGATCCTTTAGTTCATTTACTGCGGTATATTACTGCGGTACACAAGATAAACTCAGATTCTGTACGGTCAGGCAAACAGGTTTAGCTTTGAAACATTTGAAATGTTGCTTAAAAAAGTGATTTTGCAACGTTCAACTTAAAGGGTTAGTTCACTTCAGAATTAAATTGCCCTGATAATTTATTGTGTTCATGTCTTTCTTTCTTCAGTCAAAAAGAAATTAAGGTTTTGAGGAAAACATTCCAGGATTTTTCTCCATATTTTTGCAGTTTCGCACAGATATCCTGATCAAAACTCACTACAACCTGCAGATCTAAATCTGACTGAACCGATGTAGGGCCAGTTAAGCTTAACTGAATGAACTGAAGGGTTCTGCCTTGAATAAATTAATATGTGAGCACTTTTGAGAAATCTGTTTCAAATGGGTTTGCGATGAAGATCCCTGTAGTCTAATAAAAAATGGCTTTATTTTACAGTGAGCTGGTGACCTCATGGGCGAATCTCATGACCAGCTGGATAATACTCGAATGCAATCACTCCGGTGGGAAGAAAACCGAAAGTGTCAACTTTAATCATAGGAGAGTCGCGAATGCGAGAGCGTATTGTTGCTTAATGTAGAAATTAGTTATTCTAAAAATGTACACATTTCTTTCATTAGACTATTTAGCAGAGTTGTAGTACTCGAGACTCGGACTCGGTCTCGAGACCATATTTTAATGGTCTTGGTCTTGTCATGGACTCGTGTCCATTTGGACTCGGAATTGACTCGTACTCGAACATTTTTTTTTTTAGGACTCGGAATTATTCCCGAGTCCACTCGAGTTCAATTAAAAATATTTTTCATGATTATTAATGTATGTTAATAAAATGTTTCTTTAAATTGATTGACACGCCCAGTGATTGGTGATTTTCTAGTGCGCAACTGCGCATGACAAATTGTAATAAAATTACTTTTAACACCACCTACTATGTGGCCTTTTTACCCTAAACTGATCATATTTTTTTAAAGTCTAAGTAAATTCAGTAAAAAAAAAAACTGGTCTCGGTCTCGACTCGGACTCGACAGTCTCTGGTCTCGGACTCGACTCTATATGGACTCGGTCTTGACTCGGGCTCGACTCTCTCTGGTATCGGTGTCGACTCGGACTCGTGAGGTGGTCTCGACTACAACACTGCTATTTAGGCTACAGTGAAAATCATTTTAAAATATGTTTTATATGTAATTCAGAACGTAAAAAAGAAGCAGGAATGAATACATATTGGATATTAACATGCAATAATGTAAATCGCGGCAGCAGCTTCAGGCATTGTTTTGATTTCAAAATGGCGGCTGTGTGAAATCAACGTAGCCTACTAGTCGAAATCACATAGTCGCTAAAAGTATGTCTGAATTCGCAGTAGACAAACATACCTGGATGACATATTTCTTCCATTGAGATGCTGAAGTGTGCATATGGACACTTTACTGAGCCCACGGGAGAGGATTGTTATGAATTAAAGGGAAGCGATGCAATTAACTGTTGGTAAGTCACATAATGACAACATTTGCAACCATCGAACATTAGTTTTTTATGTGATATCTGGATCACCATATTTTATAGGCTATATTAAAAATATATATATATTGAGCTTTCAGTGTAAACAACAATGACCTCATAAAGCTAAGTACGTGACAGAAATATCTGCGATTATGTTTTAAATCTGATGTATTGTCCAGTTCTTATCGTCCTTCTGCACGAGCTGCGTAAACTCCTCCTGACTCCCATTCCCGTCGTGTTCTCGACCATCTGTCAGTGTTTAATGTGTTTAATTGATGACAAACCGTTTGTCTGGCTTGTGTCTCCACATAATCTAGCAAACGTGTGTGATAATGCTTCTTGTGTTTCTAATCGCAGCGTTCGTCACGCGCGCCTGCCGCGTCAATGATAGTCACGGGGATTCATGTAAGTTGTTTATTTACTTTGAGTTTAAGTTTTTAATTGGAAGTGTCCGTCTTCGTGTATCTCGTTTGCTCGGTGAATGAACTGAAGGAGTGAGTCTGTGTTGCAAACCCCAGTGAGTTGGCTTATTGTACACTGAGATAACTTCCAGTGAAATGGACCTCGTAAATCACCGATAAGCAGTGATGTACGTGTGGATTAGCATGCTTACAGCACAGTAGCCTACTACAAAAAGGATTTTTGAATGCAAATGAATGAATGTAAAGTAATATAGTGTAAAATGCAGTTTATGTAAGCGCCTGCCTGCCTCCTGATAAGCTTTTAGCGGTCGTTTGTGCTATAATGACTGTGATTTAAAGTCATCTAGACACTGCATCCCTGTTCTCATCACACACAGAAAGTCTAGAAACAGAAAGCAAAGACATGCATGGAAAATGCTACTCAAAATTACAGGTCATATTTTTCTTTGATTACACGGCTCCTTTTGAATGGCTGTAAGTGGAGAAAGATGCTTTAGCACATCTGGATTTAAGTTTTCAGTTCAAAACACGGTGTACGTACGTAATATACATTTGGTTCAATATCTGGTTGACTTAAGCATTTGCTTTTTAAACATGTTTCTTTTACAATGGTATTCATAATTAGGCCTATCTGTAAAATGTCCGCATTGGATGTAAGCAATTGTGTGTAAGTGTTCACATTTGGATACAAGTAAAGTTTGTGTGTGTGTTTGTGTGTGTGTGTGCAGTCGTAGCTATAGGGCTATAAACACATTAAATATGAATGAATGCATTTTCTTTGTTAATCAATTTTTCCCTAACCGGCTGCATTCATCTTAATAATTCAAACACACACACTTTTATATATTGGGATTTTCCATCAACAATTTATGGTTTTTATATAGAGCTAATTATATTTGCTCTCAATCTAACCCTCACACAAATCTTCTCAGTGCCAACCTCAACATCACACAGTGTGTGTTCAAATAAAATCAGCCTGATCTCATGAAAATGAGTCTCTATAGCATCCATTGTTTATCGTGCAACATGCGAAAATTAGTTTTTACGTGCATACGCAGTTTTCACGTGCACTTTATTGCGTGTAATACACACGCAACACTAATCCTACCCAACACTACTAAACCGTGCGTATCATATGCATGTTAAAAACTCATTTCCGCGTATAAATTTCACGATAAACAATACCGTGTTGGTTAAATCCTGTTGGCAAAATTTTCTAAAAATATATTTTATGGTCTGTGTCCATTAAATAAATTACAATGTTATTGGTCTCCTGTAATCTCACATTACTCCAGTGCTTTTCATTCATGAAATAACATATGAATTTCATTTGTAAGTTTAATGTTATGCCAAAATGCAGGTTTATTTTGACCTTTAGCTCCATTTAAATGTAAGAATCGTTCAACTGATTATGACGGTCAGAGAAGAGAAATGCAGTATGAAACAGCAGAAATGAAAAAGGCACGTACTCATAAATATTGAAATTTGATCCACCGTCACAGGCATCCGCTCAGTCATGCATAATACATCTTTGCATTTGAATTTTATCATGTCAGATAAATAGGAAGAATCCCAAATTTATTATTCTCCTTTATTTTCTTGGTGCAATCGGACTCCTTAAACTGTAGGTATGCATTGATTGCTGTTCACAAATGTGAGTAACATTAGCTTTATTAATAACTGCTTCCTAATTAACATTTAATTAAATTCAGATTGTGAAACTTTAATAAATGTTCATACAAATGAAAGCAATATCTGCATCTAATCACGAGTGAAGCTGACACCTTTAACAGGCCATTTAACAGTCACAATAATAGTAATTAGAAAAAATGTATTCGCTGTTTTCCAGTATAAAAATAAAAAAAGAAGCATTACAATAGCAGAATGAATTGATGTAATTCCAGATTTCAAATAATACATCTTGAAGATTTTCAAGGACAGTGTTGCTATAATCAAGTGAGTTTTCCTCACGGTGTAATTATCAAGACACTTGTTTCCTTTATTTGAATGTCGTAAGTTTATTTTCTTTTGTTTATTGGTTTACATTTATTCTTCTTTGTTTACTCTGTCTCTGAGTTATGTCACCAAGCTTATGTTTGAATGTTTATTTAGAAGGAGGTTGCCATTCTTTTCCTTATTAAACATTTTCTCTTGGTTACTGGCTAGCTAGGGAGTAAGGGACGATTGTTGTATTTTCTTTTGGGGATTTTCATTTGTTAGGTAATGTTCAATTCCTTGTTAGGTCGAATTCCTTTTGGTTTGTTATTTTGGCTTGAACCCCTCCTGAAGAATCACGCTTTCTGTTTTTTTTTTTCTGCGTAAATAAAAAAGCTTATCTTTTGACACTACATTGTGTTGTGGTACTTTGTATGTGATCTGGGACAGGAGAGGGGATATATCTATTGTTTTGTTATCGGCGTTCCAAACCACACTGTAAAAAAAATATTTTCAAGATTTGTTATCACAACATATAATTTATTTAGTTGAGATAACTTATTATTTTGAGTTTCTGATGATCATTGTATTAACTCACTTTTTCCAGTTCAATCAACTTAAAATTTTAAGGCCACCAGGTTACTTACTTTTTTTAGGTTAAACCAACAATATTTTTTTTACAGTCAAATCAACTTAAATAATTTATTTAGTTCAGATGACATATAATTTTGAGTTTCTGATGATTAAATCATTCTCCTTCATTGTATTAACTCACTTTTTCCAGTTCAATCAACTTAAAATTATAAGGCAACCACTTAATTTTTTAAGTTAAACCAACAATATTTTTTTTACAGTGAAATATACTTCTACATTAGGATGTTTTGTGATGTAAAATTTTGATAACATTATAAGTTGACTTCAGAGAACGTTACAAATGCAGTTCATGACCCCTGTAATACTAGGATCAGAGATTCTCATATAGTGCATGTGACTGGCCCACACTGGGCTGTACATTCCCATAGACTGTATGTACTTGGCTCTTTGGGACTTCAGGTCTGTTGATTGGTTTCATCTGAGTGCTCTTGTCATTCTCGTACACACTGTCTTCCTGCATCAAGAAAACAAAACTGCACTAGTACGTCTGCTGGGTGATTAAACTTAATTATTTTTATTTCTTCTATGTAAAGCACTTTGAATTACCATTGTGTATGAAATAAACTTGCCTTGCCTTGAATAGGCCTACTAAGTTGGGTTTTTAGCTTATTTTTAAGGTCAGTGAGCGACTTACAACATCGTTGGCATTACTCTTCTGTTCATCTCTGCTTTTATTTTGCTTGTTGACAGGCATCTCACTGCCTATGGAAATATCAAAACAAAGAAATCCATTGGTCACATCTTTTTGTTGTTTTAATAATGCTGATGGTAGACATGGCTTATTTGTACATGTACTTGCTGATGTCTTGAGTTTTTTCCTGTAGTACTGATTAACAGCGATCAATCCAACTAGAAGTACGATCACTGCTATGATCAGACCACCGAGAGCATATAGTATGTATAGTGTAGTGTCCAAAGATACTGAGGGAGAGAGAGAATGATATGTGTCATTAAAGTCATTCAGATAGTCGTCATCTGCAGGCTTGTGCAAAATTCAGAATTTCAGAATTGGCCTCCATTCAATTCATTTGTTTGAATTTGAATTGAATTAACTCCGTTGAAGTTGAATTTGAATTGGAATGACATGAAGTGACAAAGTCACACAACAGAAAGAATGTGTTAAATCTCACATACATTCAGCATTGGGAAGGATACTTTGGAAATGGAAATGTAATTGCTTACTGTTATAAGTTACCCGTTATAAATGTGGATTACTTTATTTGGATTCCTTTAGCAATGCAAAGCAATTTCTTTTTAATTTGATTAGTAACTAACTGAATTAAACATTTTACCTCAGTAATACAACTAAATACAATTACATTAATTTTATTACACGTAAGTCACTCCTCAACTCTGCATAAATTTAGTTCTAAAATATCGATAATTATCAAATTCTTGTTATAAATTAGCCTAATTTAACACTGCTCAGAGTATATATAGTCTACAGAGTGTTAAAGTGACACTGAAGCAGTGTTAAAGTTAATGAGATAATTAAGTGACTAATAGGGTGATGATTGAGTATTAGTGATAAACACCTGCCCTGCTGTTAACAAGCAGATTCACTGAAGGAAAGAGAAACACAAGAACTACAACTGACTTCCAGTCAAATCAGATGAAGATACAAAGTAGACATTAAATCTGTGAAGATCTCAGCAGAGGAGGATTAAACAACTCCACAAACAGCATTACCAGCTTAGAGACACAGTGTGTTACATTACCAGTTGAGATGGTCACTGGTGTGACAGTTGTAGGGCTGGTGTTAATGCGGCCAGTGTCTGAAAGTTTGGTTAAATAATGATTAATCAACAGAAAAACAAATATCATGAATGTGTACTGTATTACTGCCATGATGAACGTTACTGTGAACTTGTTCATTCTGGTGTCTGTGAACGCACGCTCTTCTCAGAATAGGGTGCCAGATTTCTATTGTGCCTTCCAGGCGAAAACACACGTAAACCGGCCTTAATATGTAGCTAAAAAACACCCAATCTGGCAACACCAGCCACCAGTGTCGCACTGCGGCCACCGTCGACAAAGCAGCGCGCGATGACGCGTTGTCTGTTTATTTAACGGATTTCAAATCATGACAAGGTGAGGATGGAATAAAATCTTACATTTCTGTGCAAACTGCCCGTCGTTAAAATAATTGTTGTCTGTGGTTGTATAACATATGTTGTCACCAAAAACAAACTTGGATGAAATCCAATATTACACTAACCTGAAGAAGTATGACTGGTAGATGTTGTGGAAGTGATTGACGCTAAAGGACCTGAAACAAAAACGTATTGAAATAGATGCTACATTACTGTGTTTTTCATGAAGACAATTAATATGAGGTGCTTCTTTTGAAAACCACATTCCAGTTTGGCAACTCATTCATTCACCTGTAGTAGTAGTGGGAGTAGTAGATGTTGTGGAAGTGACCGTGTTTAAAGGAACTGAACCAACACAACCAATAAAAGACAAAAACAGCGTTTAAGTCTGACTCAGATGCGGAAGTACTGCATGTAAAGTCATATTTAAAGTCAGTTCTGTGTTGTTCATGAAGACATTAACTATGGAGGGTTGCATTTTAATATCATAGTCCATTTCAGCATCATCCTCACCAGTGGATGTAGAACGAGAAGTTGTAGAAGTGACCCGCTGTGAAGAAACTTGAACAATAACAGATGTTAGATCAGACTCAGATGTTGAAATACTGTGTTCTTCATGAAGACAAATATTAAGAAGAGTTGCTTTTGAAAGCTAAATTCCAGTTTGGCTACTGTGTTTATAAAGACTGCACATTTTGTGCTACCTGTTATTCCTCTTAAACTGAAGTGTTTTGAAACCTTTTATACACTAATGTGTTATAGTTACACAACTTGTGTCAAAATGCCATTAACACATGGAGTGTGTTGTTTTTTCACAGGTCTCTTTTTAGAGTAGAGCCCGACCGATAAAGGGATTTTGAAGGCCTATACAGATATTTTTGGGTTTTAAAATCCGATATATCGGCCGATATTTTTTTATTTTTTATTTATTTATTTTTTTTAATATTGTTGGATTTCACACACGTGTAAAAGAAAATCTAACTTTTCTGCACAAGATACGTTTGATACTTTTTTTCTATGTCTAAATGTTCACTCCTCGCAAGTATAACTTACATTTTACAATGCAGGGACTGTAACTAGAGATATGCTAGCTATATGAATACAGTAATCATTACTTTATTTAGGCAGAAAAAGTTTGTGGTTTCCAAGCTCATTAATGTTAACATTAGCGGTCTTCCACTGATGATAGTGGCATTAGCTAGCTTTGTGGTTAGCTAGTCTATGATGAGCCATAATTTAGCAATAGATAACATACTGCACGTTGTAAAACATACATTTTCAACATAACAGGCCAAGGAGAGATGATTGAAGCGTGTTTCGTCCGTTTTTATTTTATTTTTTAAATATTCATTTATCGGCCATTATAACTGCCGATACCGATATTATGGAAAATGCCTAATATCGGCCGATAATATCGGTCTGGCTCTAATTTTAGAGACTCTGTCACAAACACACCCACTCATATTCACTGTTACAGATCATCGTTCACAGTGTGTTACATTACCAGTTGAGATGGTCACTGTTGTGACAGTTGTAGGGCTGGTGTTAATGCTGTCAGTGTCTGAAAGTTTGGATGAATAATGATTAATCAACAGAAACACAAATATCATGAATGTGTCGAAAGAGCTCATGTGAATATAATTACCTGCACAGTATGCTGAAGGACAGAAAGTTGGATTGACCAGCTCATAGACATAATAATCTCCTGGACAGGCTTTGACTTTAATGGAAGAAGACCTGTAATAGCAGCAGTCACTCCCGACGTCACCGCAGACATCTCGAGTGACGACTCCATCTGTTACTGTTGGGTGTCCACCACGGATCCACATTGCAACATTCGTGCCACATCTGTACTGAGCAACACACGTGTCTGGGATATGAGCGCTCAGGCCGTTAATGAAGAGACGATACCAGCCGCTCCAGGAGACAGACTGGTCACAGTAGGAGTTATATCCATTACTGATGGATCTCCATGGATTGTCCAGCACAGTGTAGTTGTTGCAGGGCTCTGACAGATTAGATGTAGTGAAAATATATTAAGCAACAATGACATGTTATTGTTAATAAAATATTCTTGCTATAAATTCTATCCAGAAGTGCAGCTTTAGTCATTCCTATCTATGGTAATTTCCAATTAACAAAATATTACTTTATAAAGGGGAAGCAAAACTGCCAATCTTGAGTAACACAGCAGAAGTGAACATTATAATAGCCGATTACAGACATCCTTCAAGAATGTAGAAAAATATGACTAATCTCCAGAAACACATTGATTTCCCGTGATTTAATAGCGGTCAGAATAAATTTCTACATTGTCTGCAGACACAAGCTGAGGAAAACTGGACAATTCAGCACAATAAATTACCGAAGGAGGTTGTCTCGTGTGTGACAGTCACAGAGGCCAGGAGATCTGAGATAAAAAATGATAGCAAATACAAATTAATTAACAAATTACAAAAGATTTGAATCAGAAAATTTTAGGTGAACTCTATTAAACTCTTGGCTGTCCAGTACATGAATAACATCACAGCTCAGTCTTCTGAATGAAAGAAGTGTGTCACAGATTAACCCTGTAAGACCAGTGGTTGTAAAATTACAACATCGCTTTTAGGTCTTCGAAAAACGCATTGCAAGTTATTCATTTTTCTAAAAGACCACATTTACATACACTGTTAGACCTTATAAATACTCGCAACACTTTTGCCAGTTATTTACTGTAAAAATGCAATAAAACTCGAGTTATCTAATTTCACTTGTCTTTTTATCTTGCACTGTTAATGATTGGATTTGTCAAAATATAGAAATCATCATATTTTCTGTTCATTTACTAAAGAATTCATTCTCACTCATTCAGAGTTTAATCCTTAAAAAAACTGTTACATTACGACCACCGTGAAACCACAGCAATAAATTACGAATAATTTTTTAACACGTCATACATAAACCAAAAAAAAGAGCTACGCTAACTTGCGGAAACACAACGATATCAAAATTTAGCACATTAATCTCAACAATGGTGGCAATATTTTTTTTATTCATGCAGCAGTGCATGCTGGGTGTTTTATACTATCCTGGAACCAAGCATGCGCTGTTGCATTAAACTTTTGATTGTTACCATGGTTGAGATTCATATTATAATGAACGCTTATTATTATATTATATTATAATATAATATTATATTATAATGAGAGATTATACTGTTTGCTCTCATCCTGCTCAACATTTTGAATTCAATGAGCTCATATATATTACTGACATGATCTCACGTGTTGACTGAGAAGTCTTATTACTATCTTCTGTGTTGAGTTTGGGGAGGTTTTAAATATGGTAAAATGGTTTAATTTTTGGAAACGCATAATAAAGTTAGCCTTAATATTTATTAAACAAACATGTGGGCCTGCTTATGTGTTATTGTCACAACAAAAAAACGATAAGCAAGAATTGAGCAAAAACACTGCTTATTGACTTACACCGCATAACAGAGATGATAGTCTGTGCTCTTAGAAAACCTGTCAGGAAATACAAAGGAAAAAAATCAATAATATTGATTTTGAGAAAACTACATTAATCATCTGTCATAAAATATGAGGAGAAGAGAAGGTGCCATTGTCAGTTTGGTCATTCCGGTGTATTTCTCTTTATATAAAACAGTTCAGATGATGAGTTTCCTTTACAGTTTAGAGAGAGAGAGAAAACAAACAAATTAATCGAGACATTTATGCATGACTTTAGTTTGTTGCAGAACTTTACTAGGAAATTTCACTGTATTGACGAGTTTACAGTATGGAATATAGTTATAAATGAGTATATAAGTGTGTAATCATTTAGAGACACACGGTGGCGCCACTAAGTCTTAATTTTGTTTGTGAACAGAAAGAGAACGTGTGTGTGTGTGTGTGTGTGTGTGTGTGTTTGCAAATATATTGTTAGTGAACAGAATGTTCAAAAGGACCATCAAAATAAAGTGTGTGAGTGAGTGGAGGCGGGGTTAATTTACAGATTCATGTCCCATGCACACTAAATGAAGCAAGGGTGTTACATTCAAGCTATTTTTAATGCATGACTAATATATATATATATATATATATATATATATATATATAATTTAAGAAAAAAAACTTGAAATATTTAAATTTAAATATTTTGATGATCAAAGATGAGTTTTAAGAGATAAAATACTGTCAACAGGGGAACTTTAATCAGTAAAATCATAGGTATAACTCTTATAAAACCTGACATTAAATATGAACGGGAAAAATTCAAGCAAATGAATATGTATTTTATTAAATTATATATTTCTCATACATGTTTTTTAGGCAGTGTGAACCAACCTTTAAATGCTAAAAATTACAAAATACTCACCTTTTTGAGGAGAGGAAGCCATTGTCAATTCTGACAGTCTGATCTATTTCTTTTTATCCAAAAGCCACACCAGAGGGCGAGTTTCCATTACAGATGGAGAAAAAAATTAGTTTACCACTGACGCATTCCTGCTGTTTGTTTCCTCTTTTTGTCAAACATTCCAAATATGCTCTGCATTTATGAATTTAAATTCTATTAATGCGTTATAATCATATATTGTCAAAGAATAATTAAATAAAGCATGAAATGATTCCCAGATGTCAAATATTTTCAGGGTAATTGAAAACCATATAGTAAGCCTAAACAGGTAACAGAAAATATAAATTAATCATCACACATAGTTTCCAAAAACATCACACCTGCACTTTTAGAAAAAATAATTCTATATACATTTTATGCTAAAAAAGGTTCAATAATGACAAGAAAGAACACTTTTGGCACAAAGGTTCTTTATAGGTTATTATTCATACATATATTACATTATTCTGCAACATTTTGTAGTTGTTATTAAATTTTTGTTTATTAAACTGTTTTAGTAACTTAATATCACATTTTAATCATGCAGATTTTTGGAGGATAAAAACTGAAATGGCACTCTTCGTGTGATATTGATTAATGACATTTTTAACCCCCATATCTTGAATTTTGTGATCATTCACATGCATTGCAATTTAGGGGTTCCAAATACGTAGCGCTTTAGAACCTTTTAAGGTTCTATATAGAACCTTTTCTTCTTAGAGTGTGAAATTGTGAAATTCATAAAGATTTCTTTCATAATACTCTAAATTGCTTAAGAGTGCTGACTAAAACATAAATCACGTCAGTCCGTGACCCCACATCAACACATGCCAGTGTGTTTTATTTAAAGAGACTGAAATAAGAAATTACCTGAAATAATCTGATATTCAGTGATGCTCACCTGACACGGCTGACTGGAGATGATATGTGTGTGTTTAGATGTTTATGGAGAAGTTGTGTGTCCATCATTCTGAAAAGGAAGTATCAACCCAAGTCCGTTTCCTCTTCTAATTCAAATTCAAATACACATACCTAAAACAGGTCCGTCCACAGCAAAATCCCCAGCGTTAAATTAACACTTAAAGTGTGAATTATATAAACTCTGACCAGAGAGTTAAATGAACACTGAAGCAGTGTTAAAGTTAATGAGATAATTAAGTGAATAATTGAGTGATGATTGAGCATTATTGAAGACACCTGATGATAACAAGCAGAATCACTGAAGGAGAAAAACGTATCTTTTAAGTCACCATTATGGAGATCGGTGTTTGCTTTAGTTGGGCTCTTGACCCTTAATTCATTAACTTTAGGTTTTGTATGGCTGCTGTATGCATATAAATGCCAGATGAACAAATAGAAAAGGTGATCTGATGGTGTTGGTTGTGTTTTAACATAATCATTAATTGACCTGAATCGCTGTAAAATTAAATTCTAAACTATCAAATTAAATAAAAAAATTATGTAGGAACACACAGACATCTAGAATTAGCATATGAATCTCAGCAATGGTGACAAACAGATCATCTCTGAATATAAGCTCATTATTTATTCATGCAGCAATGCATGATGGGAGCCATGAATGAGTTTTGATTGGTGGCACCCAGAATGCACTGCAACATGCTTTATGATTGTCACCATTGTTGATATTCACAGGCTAATTATTGATTGGCTGTGTGTCTTAAAAAAATGAAAGAAGAGTACATTTTATGAAATTATTTTAAACACATTTGTAAACGTTAAAAATGTTATGCTGTGCAAGATCACTGCTGCTATAATTAGTAACATAAACCTGAAACTCAGAATTAGGTTCTATATGAGTTTAGTGATTCAGGTCAAATGATTGTGAATTAATGATTATGTTAAAACACAACCATCACCATCAGATCACCTTTTCTATTTGGTGTCGTTTAAAGACATTTTAAGCTGCATCTGAAACTGTTATTAACTGTCTTTTGGACCTTGGACCGTCTGGTTCCCATTGAAGTCCATTATATGGAGAAAATCCTGGAATGTTTTCATCAAAAACCTTAATTTCTTTCGACTGAGGAAAGAAAGACATGGACATCTTGGATGACATGGGGGTGAGTAAATTATCAGCAAAAGTTTTTTCAAAAGTGAACTACTCCTTTAACAGGACAAAGTATATCATATGTACAACAATGTGTGTTTGATAATGTGTGCGTCAAATTAATAATATGTGAAATAGATGCACAGTGACAGCCCTTATGGAAAGAAAATATAATAATAGAAGAACTTTGAAAGAAGAGAAGCTACACTTTAAAGTTTAGTTTAGATTGTAACTGTGGCATGGCAAAATATGAGTTTAATGTGAGATGATTAGTTACAAATAACACACTTCTGCATAAGTAACCTTGTTGCACCACTGCTCTGTGTGTGTCTAAATATATCAAACTATGCAGGCCAGAGTGAGGGAATCAGCGGTTTCCATTTCAATAGCTCTCCAGCAAGGACAGATAGCGAGTAGAGAGTGCACCGGCAGTTTATGGGAGTCATCGGTACGCTAAAATCTGCTTTCACCTCGACACAATATTTGCTCTTCAACAGGTTAATCAGGTAAACGACACGAAAACGCACTCTCACTCCAGAGCCAGAAGCATTCAGATGGAAAAGAGACACACAAGAGTCCAGTTGGGAAAGCAACAGATATGGCAGATCAGTGTCTTCACACAGGCGTAATTGAGGCGACTGGAGCTTTAAGTGCCATTGGATTTCCAGTGCTTTTACTGGGTGTCAGTGCTAGATTGGCATATAGTGCACTTGGGGAAAGTGGACTTTCACTCTTATGGACTGGGCTTCAGTCTGTGGGCGTCTTCAGAGGCAGTTTGGCTGCGATGGCATTACCGGCTGTCGGGGGGATGGCAGCGAATGCAGTGGTGAGGATCTCCGGTGTTAAGTGTGTCTCTGGGGTCGCTGTAGCTGGACTTACTGGAGCAACTGTTTCAGCCATCATATCAGCGGCTGTAGCAGCAGAAACTGCCCGAAGTATAAGAGCCAAACACGAGGCAGAAGCCGAAAGCCTCATCTTTTCAGTGGGCTGTGGGGTTTTGTTGGGGATGGGATTGTCATATTTTTTGGAGGAAAGAAACAGAAATGGAAGAGGAACAAACAGAAGTGAGGATGAGGAGGATGAAGATCATGAGATGAATGCTGAGGACAAACACAAGAGAAGGAGAAAGAGAAGAAGGAACAAAAAGAAAATTAAGATTGGTGACTGACTTGAACATCTTTTAGAGATCATAAACAATAATATCTTGTGTATTGTATGTGTTTAGTGCTATAAGATTGTTAAATTTAGGTCAATTGGCTATCGACTAACGGTTTCTCTAACAGTTTATGTTTGTTCATATTTTATGTGTGAAAACTAAATGGTGTTAACTTACACTACTTAAATTGCACTGTAAACATAATGCTACAAATTATAAATTGGTTTGCGTTGGACAAACTTCAGTTTAACAAATTAGTTCAAACTTTTATGTGTATTTAGCACTTTCTTTTTATTTTAAGTTCACTGAACTGAAGTCAATCGTGAAAACACGAACACACTGGAGAGCTGCTTCACAGCGGAAAATGAAGTTGTATTTGTACACTGTTTTTCATGTTTAATACGGTAAACTGCTGAATTGAAGCGATCTCTTATTTAACGTGCTGTATTAGTAAACATGACGTGACTGAATTGCAAATCTTATGCAACATATCTACATTTCTATGATCAGATGTTTTTCTTATGCTTAATTAAAATGCTTGTTTTCTCTATTTTATTGTGTGTTGAAGTGAAGGAAGCCATGCAGCACATTAGTGTTATTCACTGATCTCATTCAGGGTATTAGTTCTGATTTAATAGGTGATGTCTTATGAATATCATCTCATTAATGATAGTAGCCATAACTGCACATCTTGATATTAATGGAGTGTTCCAGCTCTCAGATTTCATCGTATCTTAATTTGTGTTTAGAAGATGAACTAGTCTTACGGGGTTGGACCAACATAAGGGTGAGTATAAATACTTACAGATTTAAAATGTTTGGGTGAACTATCCCTTTAAATAAATATGCCAGTTCATTTTTGACACTTTTAGCATGCGGTGAGGTGGTTTGGGAGGAGCAGAAAGTGTCATGATGAGTAATCAGTCAAGAATGAGAGCACAAAAACAAATACATTCCAGATTGAAATTGGAGTACCTGCACCAACGTATTTCAGGTTTGTCAGAAATGCAAATACGTATTGAAATGAGCCTATTTTAAGAATGGGTGATGTAAAATAAAAAGGTGTGTCAGGAGACTAACAAAACACTCCACCCAAAAGAAAAAATACATTCATTTAAGGTAAAGATTCAGTGGAATCAAAACAAGACCATGACGAAGCACATGTTTTAGCAGTTTTTTGTTTGTCAAACTTTGACAAGATTCACTTCACGTTTGGATGGAAACCCAGCTAATGTTAGAATTACAGGAACTGGTAGCTTCACATTAAACTCTGACCGTTTATTGAGCATGACAGTGACGTGTTGAGCCAACGCATTCTCATCCCAAGGCGTCACATACTGATGCTTTAGCCAATGCATATACATCCAACGGACATGGCACTCTTTAGCGTCAATATAACACGCTTCGGTTATGGGTAGGGTTAGACCACTAGGAGGCGCCTTCTACCCCATATATATCTGCGTCTCATATTGACGCCATGTGTGTTGGATGTCTACGCACTGGCAAAAGCGTCAGTATTTGACGCCTTGGGATGAGAACGGGCTAGATGAGCCGAGCGGTCATTAAAACATTAAATAAAACTTCTGTCCCAGATTCAAACCGATCACAGATTAGAGAGAGATAAACCAAAAAAACAGCTCACAGTTATGCCTGAAAATTAAAAATAAAAGTAAGGAAATTAACTACATTGACATAGGCTTAAGTCTCAGTGAATACGCAAAATGACTGACTGGCAGAAAGCTATTTTTCTTTTACTAATTACTAATATATTAACCACTGAAAACGGCAAAATACTGTATTACGGTAATTAAAACACGCTTTTCTTTAAAAATGAAGCAATGCTCAAACACAAATATTTATATTTTCTATATTTGACATACATTTTAGTTTGAGATCACATAGTTTAATGTTTAATGAGTAATACAATCTTTAGGTCCAGCCTAACGAAACATTATAAAAAGTACAGTTCACATAGTCTTTCACTACACGGGAATTCGTACGAATTTTACAAGGTGGCTAATTCGTAACAGTTCATACGCCCTCACTCGTACGAATTAGTACGATTTGTGCAAAATCGTACATATTTTACGAATTGGCCAATTCGTATGAATTCTTACGAATGACTTACCCCTGATCCCGCCCCTAAACCCAACCATCACGTGGGTTTAGACAAATCGTACGAATTCGTACGGTTGAGGTCGTATGAATTAGTCACTTTTTAATCATTCATACGAATTCATACGAATTAATCGTGAGATAGGGTAGGTAATATTGAAGACAATAAAAATGGGATATTCCAGCTTTGCTCATACTGCCGTGCTTTTGCTCCAGATGTTCATTATCCTTCAAAGCCGCTCTGAGCAACCGCTGCGGCCGCTATCGCCGCCATGAAGAAAACAAACACTCCTTTCAACCAAATGGAAGAGCCTTCTTTGACTTTCTCTGTGTCAGTCTTTCCAAGCATCTCACTGGTGTAGTGCTTCCCTCCATTTCTCTCCAGCATCTTCTCAATCTTCTCCAGCAGTTCAGTGACCTGAGAGCGGTTCTTCATGTCTTCATTGTCAAATGAGTGAAATCTCCCAGCAAAACTCTCAGTAAATGCTTGTAGATCTGGTGTGTCTCTGATATACTCGTCTAATGATCCACCCTTCAGATGATCAGCGTGAGTGAACAGAACGATGGTGTGGTGGACAGCTTCTTCTCCAAAGTTCTCCTGAATCCATTTGACTGTGTTTTTCTCTTCATCTTTGAATCTGTCGTCCAGTCTGATGACCAGCAGAAACACATGAGGACCGGGAGCAGACATCTCCACACACGTCTCAATCTCAGCCTTCGACAGATCCAACAGTCCTGGAGTGTCGATCACTGAGATGTTTCTTCCACACACACCGGCTTCTTGTTTCTCACAGGTTTGAGGGCTTGATGGGAAACTCTTATTCGTTTTGAAGGCATCTCTGCCAACGATGGTGTTTGCTGTCGAACTCTTCCCTGATCCACATCGACCCAGAAGAACGATCCTCAGATCGGACGCTGTGAAGAAACACAATATGCGTATTAGTTCAGTAACTGTTATAGTTTTGAGGCTCAAAACACAAAATATCGCAAACAATGAATAAATGCAAATGTTCTGTCAATGTTTCTGTAATATAAATGTACATCCAATACGTCGTATATTCATCAGTGAATGTTAAATAAATAATTTAATTTTTATGATACATTGATGCAAAATCCCCAGTGTTAAATTAACACTTAAAAGTCTAAATTATATATTATAAACTATGATCAGAGTGTTAAACGAACACTGAAGCAGTGTTAACGTTAATGAGATAATTAAGTGAATTGGATGATGATTGTCACCATTATGGAGATCAGTGTTTGCTTTAGTTGAGCTCTTGGCCCTTAATTCATTAACTTTAGATTTTGTTTGACTGCTGTACATGAGTTATAACAGCCTGAAGAACAAATAGAAAAGGTGATCTGATGGTGATGTTATGTTTCACATGCAATGCAAAATGCTTTCAACTGCAAGTTTATGTCCAAAAATATGTCAATAAACATTGTTAAACTTAATAATTTAAATATAAAACAATTAAAATATAATAGAAAAGGGAAAATGTTATATTTTTCACATCAGAATATACATTTGAACCTCATCCAAGTTATAAAGTTAAATATTTACCTATTGAATGATTTTCTGGTGTGTCTTTCTTCTCCTCGCTGATCGGACATGTTTCATGTTTTCCGTCGCTTTGCTTTCCATCCAAACATTCCCTTTCTCTCTCATTTGTTGCTCTTTGTTGTTTGTTTTCTGTCTGCTGATCCTCTTCTCTGTTCTCTGTTGTCTGCTCCTCCAGACTCTTCTCTGTCCTCGTCTCGTCGGCACTGTTCTTCGCTGAGATCTCTTTAACGTAATGTTCTCGTCGGTTCTTCCTCACCACTTCATCGATGTTCTCCAGCAGACTGGCGATCTGCTTCTTATCTCTCTTGTTTTTGTGAATGATCACGTCACATTTCTCTTCACAGAAGCTCAGAAGTTCTCGGGTTTTTCTGTGAAGTCTAAACTCGATCCATTCCCGTTTGGACATGGCCTCTCTTCCCGTGAACAACACCATGGTGAACCTGAACGCCTCTTTTCCGAAGTGCTCGTGAATCTTTCTCACGATCTTATCCACGTTTTCTGTGAATCTGTCGATTCTGATGACGAGCAGGAAGACGTGAGGACCAGGATCAGAGAGATCCAGACTCTTCATCATCTGCTTCTTCATCTCTTCATCAGTCAGTTGAGTGTTGAAGAATCCTGGAGTGTCGATGATGGAGATGTTTCTGTCTTCGACTGTTCCTCTCTGGATCTCACTCTCTCTGGTTCTGCTCTCTTTAAACGCATCTCGGCCCAGTATTACGTTGCCTATTGAACTCTTTCCAGCATCACTTTTTCCGATCAGCACAATCCTCAGATTCTGTACAGCAAGGGCTTCATCAGACTCTGGGAATAAAACAGAAATAGTCATTAGAGGAAAGTTATATATCTACAATATTATCTCGAGTGAACAGTTAAGGTATCATATAAATGTCAATGTTTGGATCATGAAAGTGTTACGTAATAAAACATAGCAGGTGACAGTCGAATAATATAGAGGAATTGGTGACAGTGCAATCCATAATAGAGTGTAAAATCTATCTATACTCATTTTAATGTTTCTTAACAATTATTATAAAATAGATCAAACCCTAACCTGCCACAAAAAAGTGATCAGTTGACTTAATTTAAAAAATTGAGGAATCCCGTTGCCTTAAAATTTAATCAGGAAAGAATCTTCATGCGTAATTAACAAAAAAACATACGTTTTGTGAATTTGCGTAATTGAAAAAATTAAGTTATGTGAACATCTTAAAGCAAAGGGTTTCCTCACTTTTTTTCGAGTGAGATCATACGGATTTGTATAATTAGCCACCAATTAAACCAAACATTAAATTACGGATTGCTGTGAGATTTGTTTAAGAGACAATTAATTTCAACAGGAAGTTGCTGCCTTTTCTTAAAGAGACAGTGTCTTAAAGACCAAGCACATGATCCACGAACATTACCAAATTAGTTACTAAAGTAATAGGAAGAGTGAGAGATTAACACATAAAAAAACATAAAGAGATGAACACATAAAAAATATTGTTGGTTTAACTTAAAAAAAGTAAGTAACCAGGTTGCCTTAAAATTTTAAGTTGATTGAACTGGAAAAAGTGAGTTAATACAATGAAGGAGAATGATTTAATCATCAGAAACTCAAAATTATAAGTTATCTGAACTAAATAAATTATTTAAGTTGATTTGACAAAAGAAAAAATGTTGTGTGTATATCATTAAATTGACTGTAGATTATGGTCGATGTAGACGACAAGACAGGACCTTTTTAAAAGATGGAGCTATTAAACCCTATTTTTGATATATCATTGTTTTTTAATTGTAACAATGGAAATAAATCATTCACAATGATAAAAAAAATCTAAAAGTTATACGAAGTGAATTGGCTCATGTGAACTTTAAAACTGAGGAAAAAATGCATGTCTCAAGACAGAGATTTCCTTATAAGACTAGTTCAACAATTCAACTGGATCACAATCACTTCAGCCTAAATTGATTGTATCTGTATTGTATAGCATCATATAAAAGATCATAGACTTGATAACCTGACAGCACAGAATGTTGAACTAGGTTTACTATTGTATTTAGGCTATTAGTTCAAACATACACACATCTTTTATTCAACATGTTTGATATATAATTATAGATAATGTTTCATTGTTTGTGTGAAGATACAAAATCTAGGTTATATCACACACCTTAACTCTGAGAGTCATTGATATCAACTACAGTCTAGTTAAACAGGTTTTTTGTGTATGTTTGCCTCTAAAAACAAAATGATTATAGTATTTGGTTAGAGTTGGTTAAAGTACAGTAATTGAAACGTACCAGTACGCGCGGGATTCATTTCTGTGTTCGGTTGATTCCTGTAGTTTCTCAGCCGTTCAATCTCAGTGTGAATCCAGTGACAGAATGAAGGTATTTGAGCTCAACTCTTGTGACCCGTGAAACTCCCTCTATTGTCATGAACTATGACAGTTATTGCCTAACGCTAGTGTGCAGTTAAAAGTCTTTCTGACGCATGCTTTTATGAATGAAAACATATTTCATGGCAGCGTAATACACTTTGATTTGCCTGGATTGGATTCAATTGAAATAGAGTTTAAAGTTTGAGTGAGCACATGACGACAAGAAAAATGAAAATTTCACAAAACTGAAAATTCTGTAGTAAAAGTTCACATCCCTGATCTCTAATATCATTCACTTCACAATCCATATTGAGCTGCAACACAAAACTGCTGAATATATAACAGTTCAGTTTGTTTCTGTGCTCCACCCTTCAGTTAAACCTGTCCAAACACATCAGAAGTGTTATTTATAGACATGAATGACACTTCAGAAGTTTGTGTCGTGTTTGTTGAACAGGTTTAACTCTAGACATTCATTGTGTGGTTTTAAAGCTGCGCTGAACTCCAACTGAACAAACCAATGAACAGAGAGTGAGAATCATCACTGAAGGAAATAGAAAACTATGATAAATCGATAAATAAAACTAATAACGATGAAGGCATAAAAATTGTCCAAGCATTCATAACATCGATTCCAACGCATTCTCATCCTAGGGCGTCATATATTGACATTGCTTCTTAATCCAACACACACCCTTTAGCGTCAATATAATACTGTGTTTGACCCCCTTTCGCCTTCAGAACTGCCTTTATCTACGTGGCATTGATTCAACAAGGTGCTGAAAGCATTCTTTAGAAATGTTGGCCCATATTGATAGGATAGCGTCTTGGAGTTAATGGAGATGTACATCCAGGGCACGAAGCTCCCGTTCCACCACCACATCCCAAAGATGCTCTATTGGGTTGAGATCTGGTGACTGTGGCGGCCATTTTAGTACAGTCAACTCATTGTCATGCACTGTAAAACATTAATACGACTGAATATGTTAAATCTAATCAATAAAATTGAGGCAATAGATTACAATCAATATTATTAATTGAATTTAACAAATTAGAATTGAGTAACGAATTACTTAAAAGTTAACCATTTAAAATGAGTAGAATTTACAATTTTTTTAAAACAAAAATAATGTTAGTGCTGGGCTATTTTGAGCCTTGTTAGTGGTATTAACTAGCGATTTTTATTTTTCATTACTCTTTGCCCTATATACTAGCGTTATACGCTAAACCGTTTTTAGAGATAAAACAACCCGATCTCATGAGAATTCGTACGAATTTTACGACGTGGCCAATTCGTACAAATTACGAATTAGTACGTTTTTGCTAAATCGTACATATTTTACGAATTGGCCAATTCCTATGAATTCGCACGAATGACCTGCCCCTGACCCCGCCCCTAAACCTACCCATCACGTGGGTTTGGACAAATCATACAAATTTGTACGAGTGAGGTCGTATGAATTAGTACGAATTAGCCACTTTTTAATCATTATACCAATTCGTACGAATTGGTCGTGAGATAGCATAGGATAAAACTCTTTACATTCGATTATAGTGATAACAAATCTCAGAGAACGTGTACCAATGTGTTACTACCAAAGTTTCGTTTTGCGCCGGAGTTGTTTTTTAAGGTTGTCAGTTTTTATGTAAATGGTATTTTTACAAAAAAATGAATAGTGTGTTGTGTATTCAGCAGTTGTACAATATATATTTATTTTTATTGTTTCTAGTTTATCTTTTTTAACACTCTGACAGATAATTGTCATTTTTACAGACACCAGCTCATCTTTATGTGGTCTTCTCTCTGTTTCACACTGTAATGTCTAATACACAGCCAATGAAAGGCATTGAGATGGTATTCAAAGGGGCAAAGTTCAGTTTATACACTTCCAGTTTATCAGATTATATCAGCTAGTTTAAATCAATACTCAGAAATCTCTGGCTTCATCTAGTGGCAAATATGAGTTAATGTGTATTGAAAGGGCTTATATTCGACACAGTGGCTCATTAGGGAAACACTGTCGACTCATAACAAGATGGTCTCCGGTTGCAGCCAGGAATCCTTTCTGTGAGGGTTTGCGTGTTCTCCAGTGTTAACGTGGGTTTCCTCATATAACATCAATGAATATGATCAAGTATAAACACATTAAGTTGCTGGACATTCAGTAAAGTTACCTATAAAGTGTCATTGAGGACATTTTTTTTTTTTTTTTTGAGTGCACACAATCTCTCAAAGCTTTTTATACCCCATTAGCTCTTCAACAAACCAATATATCCTCACCAGTACATATTTGAACTAACAACATGCATTTTGACAGACTGATATAAATAGTTTAATAAAAGTGTATTTGTAACCACGGGTTTGTCATTAAAGCGCATTTGGGGCCTCATGAAATTCACTGGTGCCAAGCCTCAAAACAGTTCCTATCAGCAATCACACAGAGGGCCACATCACAGGTTTTGCATTTCTATTTTATTTATTCTTTTATTTATTATGTTCCTTTTTATTCTTTTATAATACATTTATACTACTATAATACTTTTTTACAGTAAATAAATAAATGGCACTTCAGCTGGGTCTATCCTGGTAATCTAGTTCCTCATCTGTCAAAAAGCTCTGTTCTCCTGAAAATCCATCATCCTGCAATGCACCAAAATAGACCAGCGCTTTATTTACGTCCATTTCGCTGTGTTTCTCTGTGAATCGCGCGTCTCTGTGAGTCTCTCTATCTCTCTACACTATATCAGCGCTTGGTTCATGCGTAATGACGCACAATGTTTACGACGGATCAGCCTGTAATTGGTCAAAAACCATCACGTGAAAACATCACGTGATATCCAGAATGGCCGCTAGCATCGAGCTAGCGGCAAAAATGACGGAATATTTATGAATTATGGACTTCAAGATTATCAAAGTTTGACATAAAGCGTTTGGATTTATTGCTGAAAACCTCTGAAAGGAATCACAAGTTCCAGGCTGGATAGAAAACCTTCTGTAAAGGCTAGAAAGACCCGAAAGACACCCCCGTGATGGGTAGCTCGTTAGCTTTCTGCTGGAAAAAACGGTAAGAAAATCGATAAATCTGTCATCGAGTTATGTAAACATTTATCGGAGGTGACGTGTGGCGTCGTCGACGATGCCGTCGGGCTCAGGAGGTTAAAGTAACCACAGAGCTAACGTTAAACAGTAAAGAGCACAACTAAAGCAAACACTGATCGTCATAATGTTAACCTCCAACTTTTTTTTCAATAATATATCAACATCGAAACCTCTATTAATTCTCAATAAGAGCTTCTGTAGACTTCTGACAGTCTGGTAATATAGTAAGAAGTGAAGCTGGTAGTTCTGTGTTTGTTGAGATCTTGAAAGATTGTTAGTGTTTAAAGTTCTGTTGGGTTTTATAGTGTTTCTGTTTAGTTTGTGGGTCACCATTGTGTTGAAGAGTAGAGCCTGTGCTTCACAGGAGAAGAGCAAGTAACACTGAGATTATGTTGTTTTTTATTGTTTTTAACACTATTTTATTGTTTTGAATAAAGGGGCAAAACTTACGTACTGTGCCTTTAATAAAAGCTGGATGATTTGTGTTGCTAAATGGCATGCAACTAATTTAAAAAAATTGTATGGTGGAGAAAATTAATAAATAAATCTCTTCCTTCTGGTTATGCCATGATGTTACCCACTTGACAAAATACCCTTTTCCTCAAATTTGTGTTTTATTTTGTGTTTTTTTTTTCCTTTCTGCGGTAAACATGATACTCGTGTTAAATAAAGATAACATTTCCTCAAACAAAAATACTAACCGTGATGAGCTATATAGCAATTATTAGTTTACTGTTGATAAATGTATCCAAACAGTTGCTCATCTGTCTTAATATACACATACTAAATGTAGCACTAAGAATATAAAATGGGACAGATATCAAGGCACCCCCTTTTTTCTAAAACTGTTAATGTTATTGTTAGTGGCTGGTATGATTTTATTACATGGTGTTCAATTTGGTGAGACTCGGAGTCGCCAGCAGGGGGCACTCGGGAGTTGCGCAGCGCATGAGTGGCTGACTATTGAGCAGCGTAGAAGTAGTCCAGCACGAGATGAAGCGCGAATGTGCAGAGAAATGTGCTCCTTGTTTGAACATTGCATTTTTGTGTGTTTTATACAGGTAAGCTGACAATAACCCTACACTGGTATATGTATAACAGTATTGTATTCTTATAGAGCCATAGTTCGTGCCTGAAACGTAAAGAAAGTGAGGTTTTAACCGTGATTGAGAGTGACATGCGTGAAATGGCGGACGAGAGTGTTAATTGCTTAATTAGTAGAAAACTAGTAACTCTTAACGTGAGCAAAACGGACTAATAAAGGTTTAAAAAGATATATACTCGACGTGAGTGTGGGATGAGGCATAATTAACTGAATATGTGTGTATGGACATTGATTAAAATGCGTGTAGAGACAAGTCTGGCAATTGGAGTTAATAAGGCACACGTGACTGTTGTTAGCCCTCGTCTAGCATTGCTTTATTAGCCATTACATGTAAAGATAAATTAAGTTAATACTGTTAAATAAAAACCACAGTCAGATTGAGAGGTAAAACAGTTTATTAATAATTTTGTGAGTTCATAGTGATAACACAGTAACTGTTAAATGGTTAAAACTTAGTTCATAATGCAGTCAGTTCATTAGCATGTTTCATGGAAAAGTATAAACAGATTAAAGACAAGTGAAACAGTGATATGAAAGAGTATTAGAAATATCTGTGCAGTTATAAATGCTAGAGTAATGTGAATATAGACTAAACTATTGCTGATACCTGAAGATCTTTTCTAATTCCAAATACTATTCACCTGCTTACTTGTTTGAGTTTAAATGTATGACTCATAGAGTTTATTGTACTTTAATGATGTTATTTTTCAGACCTTTTCCTTTTATATTGTTTAATAACGGGCATAGCACATGTTTAGATCCATGTTAATGTGGTTGTAACATACACCTGACTAAATATTTAAGTATATGCTGTTTCCATGGTTTCAGTAAAAGTTAGTCAAAATTGAGGGTAACCCAGATATGACATAATTGATGGACATTGGGCCGTGTCCTGGTTAAAATAGTTGATTTCTCTGGATTTAAACATTGTTAGAAATGCTTGGAAGGTCAACAAAATATACAACATTGTTTAAGTGCTTTTTGGATATTTTAATCTAAAAGTCTTGCACATTGTGCCTTTAAAGCTTGAAACTATTCACTGTTCACTGTGAGATCGAGTTTATTCAGACTAATGCTTTTCAGACAAATGACTGAATTTTCAGTATTGGATGAACTACTCAAAGTATCATTTGACTGTTCTTTTAAGACCAAAGGTCACCAATAAATTTAGGTTGGTTGTATAGTTTCCCTCCATTTAAACTGAAACCAAAAATAAGATGACATCTGATTACAGACAAACCTCATCTATAAATCCAAAATACATGTGCAACCTTTCCATGTTTGTCATACTGAGTCTATTGTGTAAGGTACAAATTATATTATCAGAAATAAAAATTGAAGTGAAAAGTTTTTTTTTTTTTACATAATTACCCACTTGTTTGACTTAACTTTACGACTTTCTTTTTATGTTAATATATTTATGCATATTAATTGTGACATAAGAAACTATAAGATCTGGATAACAAACATGTATTATGAATAATCATTTGCATAATTCATGTCGTGTGACGAAACTATGTCTTTCTGAGGTAACAGACCTTAATACACAGGACAGAGTTAAATAGTTCAGAATTATGACTTTAATAACCTATCAGATAAAATGATAAATACAGACATATAAAAAATGACATGTAGCAAAACCCTTTGTACACAACGGTGCGATCTAATGGAAGAAGACAGACACTGTGTAGAGGACTAAACCAGCATCCAACCAAATTATTTTCAAGAAAAACTTTGTATAAAAATGCAAACACTACAACTGCAGAGCGATGATGATATCAGCAGATATGAGTCCAGGCGTGTTATCTGTCATCTTCAGAGGAAACACTGAGGATTCGACTGGCTTATATTATACAATGAATGTAAACAGAATATAACTTTATCTGCTGTAGTTTGCTTGATCTGCCAGAGTCCTTCAACGGTGTTGATGAAACGCTGCGAGTGTATAATAATTATGACCATAAGCAAAGTAACTTATTGAAATCATCTACCGCTCCATCACATAAATAAAAATAATAATGATGAAGGCATAAAAATTGTCCAAGCATTTATAACATTGATTCCAACGCATTCTCATCCTAGGGCATCATATAGTGACGCTATTGACATTGCTTCTTAATCCGACACACATGGCACCCTATAGCGTCAATATAACACGCTTCGGTTATGGGTAGGGTTAGGGTTAGACCACGAGGAGGCGCCTTCTGGCTCATATATAGCTGCATCTCATATTAAAGCTAAATGGTGCCATGTGCTTTGGATGTAGACCTACAGTAAATGACGCCATGGGATGAGAACGGGCTTTTGATTCATTGTGGATTTTAAAAGTGATACATTTAAAAAGCATTTAACTAACAATTCAATTGTAGATGTTTACTGAGTTCCTTCTATAATATATTGAAACCCACAATAATATTCAAAAAGTATTAAAAAGTGTAATATAAATCATGATTTGCATACTTAAAAGTAGCTGTCCCAAACTGGTGAAAATTAAATCAGAAATAATTTTTGCATTGTTGTTTTTAAAAAGTATTTTTTTAGATTTTTAAAAACACTTCATGTAAAGAAATGTCACATTAGTCACTGAACAAATGTGTTTTTAAGTATTTTTTAGCTAGACTAATTTTAACCACTCCTACATTAAATGTGCTTCATGCCTGAAACATGGGATAAATTATCAACTAAGATTTTAGTCTTTGCTTCAATGTATATTCAAACTGATGAATCCTTAACGTTGAAATCATTATGATTAACTTCATGCATTTTCCAAAGAAACATTAGATTCAGAATACAACAAATCTAATAAATTACACTTTAAAATATTGTTAAAATTGTAATTTTATTGATGTGATAGTACAATAGCAAAACATATGTTTGTAAGGTAGATGTAAACAAAATCATAATAGTTCAGTATAAGCCTTCTTCTTATTAAATCATATATTATTGTGTTTTGGAGGTGACAAGCACAAATATTCTAAAACTTTCTGAAATTACAACATGAGAATTAACTTCACAATGACTAAATGTGTACCCTACCTTTCCCATGAAATTATGTTGCAAAGGGAACAATGTGAGCAAAACCTGGAAAACGACATCATGACTCAATTAAAGGGAAAACATTCACAAATAGACAGCATATAGCTCACAATTGCAATTCTGTTTCTTACAATTGTGACTATTAATCAATGTCACAATCACAATTGTGAGAATATCGCATAGACAAGACAATTGTAATTACTTTTTTTGTTGTTGTGTGAGTGAAAAATGCTTGAAATGTGTCTCTGTGGTTCCTCGCAGGTTGTTAAATCTGACACAGAGACACTGAAGATTCGGGATAAACCCCAAATCCAGCATAGAGGGGTTCAGTGAATGTGGTGTTGAATGTGTATATGTGTGTGCGTGTGTGTGTGTCAGAGACGCCGTAGAAGGAGAGAGTGCCGGCAGACTCGTCCACATACACTCCTATTTTATTAGAGCGGGCTGACGGGCCAGATACATCAGTGCTCTTATTATTGAACCAGACTGTGTAATTCATATCAGAACAGTACATACTCCAGGACTTATCATTCAGTCCAAACCAACAATCAATCCCACTTTTCCTGCAGATTTCTTTATATGCCACTGCTACATGACCCGAGCCACTCCATTTAACCTCATAGTAAGAGCGTCCAGTCAGACTCTCATGACACAAAACCTGCTCCTGGAGCTCAAATCTGTCTGGATGATCAGGATATGGCTGATGATCTTTCACACATGTTGCCTTTCTGTTGTCCTCAGACAGGATGAGTTGAGTGTGTGCTGTGTTTGGATTCAGAGTGAGATCACAGGCATCTGAACACAACAGAGATTTGAACATCTTTGACATTGTTAAATATGCACAGGTAGGTGTGTGTGTGTGTGTGTGTTCTCTGTACACATTATGAGGATCAAATGTCCCTAAAAGGTAGATAATAACAGTGAGTTTTGATATTTTTTGGTCTCCATGAGAAAAAGAGCTTATTATACAGTCATATTAAATTACATTTTTAATTTTGAAAATGTATAAATGCAGTGACTTTTCTGTGATGGGTAGGATTAAATTTGGTGGGATGGAATATTCAAAGTTCTGTTATGAAACTCTAGATGGCGCAGGAGTATAGGTCTTTAACTCAATCTGCCTACCAGTGTGTGTGTGTGTGTGTGTGTGTGTGTGTGTTTGTATGTGTGAATATGTGGGTGAGAGAGGACCTACATTTTCTCAGTCCTTCTGTGATTCTGAAATAATCTCCATGGTCCAAACTATACAGAGACAAAGACAAACAAACAAAAATTACATAATATGTGGGAAGGTTCTTAAAATTGCAAATACAATTATAAGTTCTGTGGCTTGTAGAATATGAGTTCTCCCAAAAAAAACATTCTGTTGTAAATTACTCTCCCTTGTGTCATTCCAAACCCATCAGATTCATCTTCAACACACATTAAGATATTTGTTTTAATGAAATCTGAGAGATGCATGTAATTTTAAGTCGTATAAATGAAGCAGTTTAATCCAAGTCTTTTGAAAAAACACTATCACATATTTAATGTTTATGATTTATGATGATTCTTTAGTTCATAGTATGGAGTTTTAGTTTTTCAAAAAAAAAAAAAACAGTTAAAGGGGTGATAAACTGAGAAATTTTGACATATAAGAGGTCATCAGATTATAAGAATATCCTGAAAGTTTCAGAACTGAAAACTTCCTTGTTAGTCCAAAATCATCTTTTATTGTTACCAGGCCCAGTGATTGACTCATCCTGGACTGTTGTGTCCTTAAGCTGTATTGGGTTTAAGAGCAAATTTTAGCAATACATACTTGTTGAATTACTACTATATGTAGGATGTATGTGTTGACCCTAATATTAGAAGCAACATGCCCCTAATTTTTAAGAGTTGCTCCTAATTTTTTGCATTAAGAGTGACTATTAACCTTAAGATTCTTTAGAGAATACAGCCCCTGATTTTGCATCTGTGTCACATGAACCACTGCAGCACACTCCAGTCCAGACCAAAGACAGGATAGCATAGAGTTGATCATGTCAGCACAGACATCTAACATTGCAGACAAAATGTTTGTCCATATAAATATCTATATATAAATGAAGAAAAGACCACAATAAAGTTTTAAATAAGTTCTGCAAATTGTGATTTGAGCATTTAACCCTTTAAAACTAGACTCTCAAATCCTTATAGAACTTTAAAAATATACGGGTTGTAGTAATTTGTTATTAAAGTAACAGTTCTATAGTTCGAGACCCTCACATTTTGATATGACATCCGCTCCCTGTTTTCTCTTATGTGAAATTTGTGGATTCAGCTGTATTATATCAGATAAAGCAGTTATGTAAAAAAGTTATGAGCCCCTACAAATATGTCATTAGGAATTTCTTAAAAGATCCGTCTTAGGTGACCCCTAATACAGACACACATATGAGTCATAGTGTATGAAACACACTTGAGTATCTCCAGTTTATAGTTTGGATCCTTCAGTTTCTCGGAGAGCAGCTTGACTCCTGATTCTCCAGGGTGATTGTAGCTCAGATCCAGCTCTCTCAGGTGTGAGGGGTTTGAACTCAGAGCTGAACACACATAACCACAGCCTTCCTCTGTCACCATACAGCCGGACAACCTACAGACACACACAGTCAGATCATCTACAGACATACATCAACATTATGACCGGATGACTGTACATTATCCCTTACATGATCTAACTCACCTCAGTATCTCCAGCTGACAGTTTGGACTCTTCAGTCCACAAGAGAGCAACTTCACTCCTGAATCCTGCAGGTCATTGTTACTCAGGTCCAGCTCTCTCAGGAAACAATTTGAGGATTGAAGAGCTGATGACACAGCTTCACATAATTGACCACTGAGATTTAAGCCAGCAAGACTGAAAACAATTAACACATGAAAATTAAGTTTTTAACCTCATTCTTTGAAATGGTTTTTTTTGGTAATATTTCATATTAACATTTTTTCTTTTGTAAAAGACATTCAAAAGAAAAGATTAAGACAATTTAAGACATTAAGATGAAATTAAACACGTACAGAGCTTTTGTGCAGTTGATGACAGCTGGTATCAGTCTTCTTCTGCCCTCATCTGATGTGTTGTATTTGTTGAGGTCCAGCTCATCCAGCACCTCCTCTGACATCTGAAGCATGTAGGCGATTGTTGAGCAGTGAGCAGGAGAGAGTTTCTTCTCTGAGTGTTTGTCTGATTTCACAAACTCCTGAATCTCTCTGTACAGAGTCTGATCTTTCACTTCCAGCAGAGAGAGGAACAGATTGATGGATCTTTCAGTGGAGAGTCCATGTCCATCTTTGATCTTCTCTTTAATGTACTGTGTGGTTCTCCTGATGCTCTCTGAGCTGTTCTCTGTGTGTGTCAGTAGATCCTGTAAGAGTCTCTGATTGGACTCCAGTGAGACTCCCAGCAGGAACCGCAGGAACAGATCCAGATGTCCATTCTTACTCTCAAGAGCTTTATTAGTTGCATCCCTGTGCAGATTATGTACTACATCACAAAATTGCAACTTGTCAAAAAGTTCGATAGCATAATGATAAAATGCATAGAACGCAGCGAGAAACTCCTGGACGCTCAGATGAATGAAACTGTAGACTTTCCTCTGATGAATCACAGATTCCTCCTTAAAGATCTCAGTGCAAATCCCAAAATACACTGAGGCGTCAGTGACGTCTATGCCGCTCTCAATCAGGTCCTCCTCATAGAATATCACATTGCCCTTCATCAGCTGATGGAAAGCCACTTCAGCAAGTTTCACAATCACTTCTCTGTTGGACTGCAGGAGTTTCTCTGGATCTCTCTCTTCATACTTCTGATTCCTCATGTTGATCTGAATCAGCAGGAAGTGGATGTACATTTCAGTCAGAGTTTGAGGGATTTCTGCACTCAGATCTTCTTCCAGGAGCTTCTGAAGCACAGTGGAGGAGATCCAGCAGAAGATGGGAATGTGGCACATGATGTGGAGGCTTCTTGCTCTTCTGATGTGAGAGATGATTCTGCTGGCTTGATGCTCGTCACTGATTCTCTTCCTGAAATATTCCTCCTTCTGAGGCTCATTGAATCCCTGAATCTCTGTCAGACGGTTGATGTATTTGGAGGGGATCTGATTGGCTGCTGCTGGTCTGGAGGTGATCCAGATGAGAGCTGAGGGAAGCAGATCTCCTTTAATGAGGTTTGACATCAACACACCCACTGATGAAGTCTCAGTCACATCAGAAACTTCCTGAGTGTCTGAAAACATCGGTGTGATTCTGCTTTCATCCAGACCATCAAAGATGAACACAACTCTACACTCCTCATACATCTTTGAGTCCAGATCTTGAAGTTCAGGATGAAAGTCCAGCAGAAGTGTATGAAGACTGTACTGATGATCTCGTATCAAGTTCAGCTCTCGAAATGAAAGCACAAACATGAAATCTACATCCTGATTGTCTTTTCCCTCGGCCCAGTCCAGAATGAACTTCTGCACAGAGACGGTTTTCCCGATTCCAGCGATGCCTTTAGTAAGAACAGTCTTGATTTGATCTTTCTCCTGGCGTCCTGGTTCAGGAGAGGCTTTAAAGATGTCATTGCAATCGATTGGAGTGTCTTGTGAGTGTTGTGTTCTGGCTGTTTTCTCCTTCTGTAAAACCTCATGTTCTTCATTCACTCCTTCTCTCTCTCCCTCTATGATGTAGAGCTGTGTGTAGATCCTGTTCAGGAGAGTTTCATTCTCTTGGAGTTTGGTTCCTTCAAATAACTTATCATACTTGTTCTTCATGCTGATTTTGTGCTGATCTTTGACCAGCACAAAATCTCTGCAGGTCTCCAGTCTCTGCAGGTCTCCAGTCTCCAGTGTTTTGTCCTGCCTGCCATGAGCGTGATACTGGGATGTACTGGAACATACAAAAGACACAACATCAACAAAATGTATGCATTAAAAAGTTCACATAACATTAATAATTAGTGATGCACCGTTTCGGATGCTGTTTATTTTACAAGAAAACTGTCCAATTCCGAATTCTGTTTTATTCTTTCTTTAAAGGGGTCATGAACTGGCTTTTTAAATTTTATTATATTGTTGTCTGAGGTCAATGACGTTCGCTTGGTTTTTGCATTCAAAAACATCAAATTGAATAAGTTATAGGCTATTTTGTACCCAAGTTTTGAGCCCCGCTGAAAAACGTTTTTATGGGCGTCTCGCATTGAAGACTTGGAAGTAAATGTTAAAAAATAAAGTTTATCCTTGCAGTCCTATTGGAATCCAGAGGAAGCATATGCAGCAACTGTCTTCTTCCACAACCAGGAGCTGCACAATATTTTGTATTGCTCGGTAGCTCAATCCGGCTTGTCATCACGAGGTAGGCATCTATGTTATTTGCTATGTGTGTAATGCGCGAATCGGTGGGTGGGGCTAAAAGTAGGCATTGATCTTTTTCTGCGGGGGTGGTTGTTTTATCCTCTTTGACGTCATAGTTCCCCACTTTGAAAAATGAGTCGTTTGCTGAGCCTGGTGTCAATAAAACTTGATTTTATTGTCAAAAGCTAGATGTCAAAAGCTCAAGGAAAATTTGATTTCTCAGTTCATCACCCCTTTAAGCAACAAAGTATTCATAAGCAAGATGTTTATTTGGTATTCAACAGGCCAAATTGGCCTTTGGCTATTAAAAATGCAATAACTGTAACCATCTGAAATTAACGGCAAAAACTGAGCAGTAAGCGCATTCAATACAAACAAAAATGGGATTGACATTTAGCATCAGTATCACTTTTGTTTTTAAATTTGGTTGAGCTTGAAACTACTAGGGATGCACCGATCCAATAGTATCAGTATCGGCTTTGAGACTGCCATTCTTAGCCAGATCTCATATAGGTCAGACGAGGCTGATGCAAATCTATTCTGTAAACACTATTCTGTGTTATTGTTAAGTCACATAAAGGCACAAAAACATTATTAAGCACCATAATGTTTTAGTGCACTTTATTATAAAGTGTTCTAAAGCCATTCTATAGTATAATGTGCATAGAAATAAATATTTAAGTCATTAAATTCTAGTTCACATAACGACGACGACGACTTCACATAAACTCTTCTCTTCTTTAATGTTAATGTTTTGTAAATTTCGGGAGGAATGTCCTGTAGTCCCTATCAGTCTGTTGAAGATCTTAAAAAACTATTTATGTAAAAGCAAACATCTTCCTTTTCTTTGAACCTTGAGTGTTGTAACTTTGCAGATTTTGTTTATGCTCAAACAGCAACATCACACACTTATTAAAGTTAGAAAATTGAAATATTAATCAACCGCCACTTTAAGACTAGCTTTTTCAAATTGTGGACCTACTGTTTGTCTATCAATCTGTTGTCCCAACATGTTCTACTATGTTGCTTGAATGCACTGTAAATTGTTTTTAAAAAAAGCATTTGCCAAATGCATTCATGCATCATACTGTACCTGAGGTCAGAGGGGAAAGAAATGGGTTTGTGCATGGACTGATCACTCCTCATTGACACACAGCTGGGTTCTGCACCACACTCTTCTTTCTCCTTACTGTCCTCCTCTCTCTCTTCACAGTGATGCATTTTGGAGGTGTGTTTCCCTTCTCTTTCTCTTCTTTAAGGACATTAAAAACAAATTTATAGTAACATTGGAAATAATCATGTTTAATCTCTCACATTCATGGATTGAAAGAGTACATTTTAAGCTCCATTTCACTTCAAAATTCGTAACACTCAATCTTGCACTACCAGGTTCTGAGGTCAAACACCTGCTGCTTGCAGATGGCAAGATCTGATTATTATCCTAAACATTGTGTGCTTGCACCATTTTTTTCCCCTTCTACACTAAAACTTCAGTGAATCTCAATCAGAAGGCTATATCATACTAAAGGCGTCTCAGTTGAAGGATCCTTTTGGCAGCTTTAATTTTGCGTCCATCATTCAGCCTGTTTTGAAGGATATAAGCATCATGTTAATCCTTTACATCCTCCAATCACCCACAATCCTTTACACAAAGTTCAATTCACAACAAAAGTATAAATGGGAAATGAATGGACACTGAGCTCGCCTGAGTTCATTATGAGATGCAAATATTTGCAAAGATGAAGGCATCATGATAAGGGCATTATTTTTGTTACATGATGCTTAACTTTCCATGATGCAAATTACTAGGAGGCCACAGGATGTTTTTATTCACTGTGCTGTATTAACAGAAAGACAGAACATGTGAAGATTTGAATTATTAAGTATTTTTAAATAGTATTTTTGCACGAACACTAAGAGGCAGAAACCTCTGACAATGTCAAACGAACTCACATGACTTTCTCATTCCAGCCTTTATGCTGTCTTCATGTATTACTCGAAATATCGGAGAAGCTGATATTGTCAATATTGTGTGTAACAATAACTCTGAGATATAATTAACCATATGTTAGGAAGCAACTTATTAATTAAATGTCGCTCTGGTGTTTAGTGTATATGTTACACCATCTACGTAGTGCTCAGGCGGACAGAGGAATGTGTCACTAGGCTATAACAGAGCTGACATAACATACATACTTTGGCACAGACCAAAAAAACTATTTTTGCCACTAGAACATAGACAAAGGATGATTTAAGAAATTAATTGCTGACAAATGCAGCTAGAATTGCCTGTGATAGATTGTTAAAATGTCTTTTGTAATGGGTATTGAGCTATTACTTTGTGTTAAATCCTGAAGTAGGACAGTCAAAAAGTCACTTTTGTGTGGCGGTGTCTGGGTTTTGCACTCGATAAATTAATCAGTGTAATTAAAGCAGTACCGATATGTAACTTGGCATCTTCATTCACCAACTACCAACACAGACTGCCTTGCTAAAACACATATGTTGGAGATGCCAAATGGATAAAAATAACTAAAAAATAAAACAGGGCTTGAATAATCCCATTAATGACATGTTTGAGTCATGCTCTTAACACACTATATTTTATCTCCTCTTTTCATATTGTGAATAATAAATGTGTATCCTTTTAATTTGCTTGTTACACAATTATTTGACATAGCGTATTTTTACACTCCTCAATTATTTATTTATTTTATTTATGTATTTATTTTTGCATGCAGGAGATTTGGTCGTGTGCAGGAGCTGCTGAGAGAAAATGGCACTGTCATAGAGTCTAAAGATGAATGTTGACAGAAAATAGGGCAGACAGAGAAGAATGGAAAGACTATGCGTTCCACTCAAACAAGGTTGGCTTTATTTAACTTTTTTAATCAGAATCACTGAAGGAGAAAAACATATTTTAGATCACCATTATGGTGATCAGTGTTTGTTTTAGTTTGGTTTAACATCTACGTATCCACATTACACATTTAAATACCTGCATTCATCAAATAACTATTTTCTCATTAAAACAAACAGAAAATAATAATAAACTATTTGATGGCAGATTATAGCCATGCCTCCTCTGGCACTAGTTGAACACCAAACCAGGAGACAAGCATTAAACGTGGCTCTGTTTGTATTCACTGATTGACAGATAAGAACAGCTACTAACAACATATTGCAGTAGGCTATAAGTATGAAACATAGGTTAAGTCGACAAATTAAACTGCCCCACTTTTTAAAACAAAATTCGCCAATGCTTTATGTTAGTTTCATCGAGGATGTTTCCATCATTATAGGCTACATCCAACGTCTATCTTCCGGTATGAAATCCTCATAAGGAACTGGAGAAACTTAAATGACAGTGCATAGTTATGGCCTACACTGTAACATAAAGATTAACTTCTGAACTTACCTAAACGTATAGGTTACCGGAGATAAATATACAGGGTTTATGTTTTATGTGTTCGGACTGGCGTCTCTTCCGTTTCTTCTTTTACTTTTGTTTTCTCACATATGGTGACTCGAGGTGTGTTCCTACCTGTCAGTGCTCGGAGTGAAATTCCTGTCCGTGCATGCTCAACTGCACAGGATATAACCTGGACATGTCGATACATCACTTCACTGCGCAAGCGCGACAGTTACAATGTGACTATTACGATTATGTTTAAATAAGATCAAATAATAAATACATTACGTGAACACATTGTAATATTAATATTAACATGGCAACATTTACCACTAGATTGACTTCAAGTTTGATATATTCACTAATTAATAATACAATTTATTTAAGAGCAATATTAAATATAATATGATGTAGCTATGAAGTAGATTAATTTAACCATCAGAAACTCAAAATAATAAGTTATCTCAACTAAATAAATTATTATAAAGTTGATTTGACAAAAAAAAATGTTGTGATAACAAATCTTGAAAATATTTTTTACAGTGTTGTTGATACATTTATATTGTATACAAAGTTGTATGTAATACAAATGCAATCTCTGTGTTATGTACACACACAAAAAAATAAAATCAATAAATTAGACTTTTGAGCAAGCACTTGGTTTCATTATAAATTACCTCTTTATTTTCTGAAGATTATTATTTGTTTATGTATCCCCAATGTTATTTATTTGTAATTACTTATTCATTAGTTTATTTGTAGTTTCACTGCATGTTTTGTGAATTGTTATTACTTTAGTAGTAGACTATATGTATCCCTTGTGCCTTTTGTTCAATAATATATATATTTTTTTTAAAAGCAATAAGCGCGTCACTTTTTGGCGTCCTCCATGGAAACATTTCCGTTGTGGTCTTTTATTTGCAGCACGTTTCTATATTTGGTTGTGTTTTTAGTATTTGGAGCATACGTGTGCCGTGAAACTGATGAATATGTTTTCTAAATTTGCGTGTGTCTTTTTCTGTTTGCATGTTGTTGTTTTTTTCTATTTGCATGTGTTTTCTTTTCTATTTGCATGTGGGGTTTTTTCTGTTTGCATGTGTTTTTTCTATTTGCATGTATTTTGTTTTTTCTATTTGCATGCGCTTTCTTCAGTTCCAGCATGTTGAGCTTTTTTGGCCACCGTAAGAATCATATTTAGTATTGTTATATTGTTACTGCTTTGTGCACTTGTCTGCAGTTGGTGTGCACAAAAGGACATTCAGTACTGCATTGTTTCCATTACTTCCTGGACTCACCAATGTTACACTGACAGAACAACACTTTATAAAGTTGAAGATGAATGATAATAAAGATACTTTATTGATTTGCAACCTCTCCTTAACCTTAACAACAACCAAAGTCTTTTTAATTAAAGCTTACAGCATGGTTAACTATTATTATTATTAATTTTTTAGTTCATATATATATATATAGCAGATTTCAAAATGCAAGTGATAGCAATAGATAAGCAAATTAAAAATGGAAAAGCTGGAATACTACTAATTAAAGGTGCAGCAATTTTAAGAGAAGTGTGATATCATAATGCAGGATGGCTCAAACTATTATTAATAATTTTTTGCAAGTTCCCTGCTCAAGTTTAATTGACACCCATAAAAACCCCCAACAAACTTTTGTCACTAGAGGACTAGCTGGGTCAAACACATGTTTGACAACATCCGCATGAGCAGTGCTCAGTATCCGGCAGGGTAACCGCCTTTCCTGTAGTCAGATTCAGCACAGAGTGAGTCCCCCTCTCGGACAATCGCCTGGACCACCGATATTTCAGAACTGTTTTTTATTTCATGCTTCATCTTCTCCCAGTCTTTGATTACTTCCTGAATTCATAAACACAGAAAAAAAATTACTATATTTCTCTCTTTTATGACTTTGTGAATCTTATCAAGATGACAAACTTTTGTTGTCAAGTGTAAGAATCCTACCTTATCAACAAATGTCTTATTACACCAGGTCTGAACTCTTGGTTCTCTAACAGCTTTAGGCAAGTTATAGCCAAAGTACAAGTAGTTCATGATCACCTGAGAGGGGAGAGACAGAATTTTAGATAAAAGAAAAATTGATTTAAAATAGTTTTGTCCATTTATTTTAACACAACCTATTCAAAATAAACAAATGTTTTGTATCGAATGATAATTCAGAATAATCAAATGTGATATTGCTTTCTGTGCTGTGTGTTGAGTAAAGTATGTAAACTCTCGGCAGTGTGTGTCACCTGAGCAACTGCAGTGGTGATATTGGTCCCGCCTGCACCTCCAACCACCATTTTCACTTTTTTATCTTGGTCCAATATTATTGTAGGACACATTGATGAAAGTGGCCTTTTACCTTGTCAAAGCAATTAATATTTTACATGTGAATATGTTTATTTAGATACAGTAGCCACAGTATAATACAATATTACTTCATTTATAGTGAGTTTACTGTATGTAACACAGAGAATGTCAGTTTTATTTATTTATTTTACCTGGTTTAATGAAGTTGTTTTTGCTATGTACACATTTCATATTAGGATTAGTGAAATCGTCCATTTGGTTATTAAATACAATGCCTGTTGACTTTGACATCACCCTAGATCCAAATCTGTGAGAACACACAAAAAAATTCAACTATATAAATATATATAAGGAAATAAACAGACCTTCATAAAAATAGACACCAAAAGTACAGATGAGGTATATAAATTTAATAAAATTAATGAAAAATGTTTTTCTTACTTTTGATTAAATCTTGTCCAAATTATTTAATAAATATGTCTCATGGCTATCTCCCACTATAGCTAGATGAAACAACTTACCAGCTAACAGAATTTTGTTATAAGAACATTCTCCAAATATTTAGTGTTGGTTCTGGGAACGTGATAAATGTCCAGTTTTCTTGATGTTAGAGGACGTATTTTAAAAAGTATGGTGTTCCTCAAATGTTTTTTAAACTTAATTTTGATTTAAAATTCAACATTCTAGGAACATTGATTTCTCACATTGCAGGAACATAAAAATGTCCAGTTTCCTGAATGTTAATATAATGTTATTTAAAGGTTAGTGTGATTCCGAAACATTCTTTCAATCATTCAAACCCCTGCTGTGAACAAGCACTGAAAGACAAATAAGAACACAAACTACAACTTTATTCAGACACAGTCTTAGATGAATTGAAGATAGAAGACATTAAATCTCTCATGATCTGATTAATCAACTCCACAAACAGCATCACCAGCTTCACTTATTACTAACCAGACTGACTTTATTTCTGTCAGGTGTCTACATAAGATCTTATTGTATAATATATTCCTCATTAAATATTCCTCAAACGTCAGAAAAACTTTTTCACGTTCCCAGATCCAACACTGAATATTTGGAGAACATCTTATAACAAAAATCGGTTGCTTTTGTAGAGAATGTGACCAAATTGACTTACAACAGAAGATTACAATTTAGATAATTAGGTTTGCCTTGTTGATTACAGCAGCCTGGTGATTCTAGTGATAGATTTTTAATTTTTTTTATTAAGACACACAGACATCAAGATTCAGCCTGTGAATCTCAACAGTGGTAACCATAATAAACCATGTTGCAATGCATTCTGGGTGCCACCAATCAAAACTCATTTATGGCTCACATCATGCATTGCTGCATGAATAAATAATGCCCTGAACTGTCCTTTTCCTAATTAAATATTTCATTTGTCACCATTGTTGATATTCATACGCTCATGCTTGATGTCTCTTAGTATCTAAACTTTTTTTTATTATTTTATCAGAACAAGTTTTAAGAAATCATTTGGAATATGTTGAAAATTCTGGCTCTTGAACTGTAGAATCACTGTGATGCTGCAATCGACAATATAAATGTAAGTCAGAGATTAGGCTCTAAATTAGTTTTGTGAAATTTTAGTAAAATAATGATTATTGCCAAAACATAATCAACAACTTCAGATCACCTTCTCTCTTTGTTCATCTGGCAGGTATAACTCAGTTACAACAGTCGAACAAAATCTAAAGTTAAAAATGTAAGGGTCAAGAGCCCAACTAAAGCACACACTGATCACCACAATGGTGTGAAATGGTGATTTTCTCCTTCCGTGATTCTGCTTGTTAACATCAGGTGTCTTCAATAATGCTCAATCATCACTCAGTTAATCACTTAATTATCTCATCAACTTTTATCACTGGAGTTTGAGCTGTGTTCCTTTTAGGAGAACATTCTGGGAACCAACATAAAACTACCCGCTGAAAAAATTATTAGAACTTCATGGTAATGTTCCCAGAAAGTTTTTAAAACAAAACATTTCTAGCTGAGGCTCAGCGCTTTGTCAGTCTTTAGTGTAGCAAAGTGCTTTTTGGTAAGGGCAAGGCCATGAGAACAGGTTTCACTGGGTCTGATAATATCAAACATGTCCTGAAGGAAGTAGACATACAATGACATCTCCCAACATGTTCAATATTATCAGAGCCAGTTGGATAGACATCAGTTGTTGAATCTATTGATGCTATCCTGCTGAGAGACTGTTACAGTTGTGTTTAGTTTGGGTATGTTTTCTCACTGTCTGCCAGATTCATTAGTTATGCTGTATGGTTATGCGTATATATTTGAATTGTTTCATCATTCTGTTCAGCTCAGCTGTGTTTGATTAATTACCTCTACACGAAACTACAGTTTTGGACCTATTTATTGTAATTATAAGAGAAATTATGTTTTAGAATTTGAAACTGAGTGTATCAGATCAAGTTCAGGGACCATAAACAATGCAATTTTTTGAGAAGGCTGTCTAAAGAACTATAATTAGTCTGACCAACTAGCAGATAGCAACTGACTCCGGAACGGATCTGCCGCGGAGGTAAGAACAAGGTCCGGAACGGAGTCCACTTGCACAGCGCAACGGATCCGGAACAGATAAGGATTGCGGATCCAGACTAGATCCGCGCCAGACCCTATCCGGATCCGATCTGGACCCGTTCATTTTGGTCTGAAAACCTTTCAGATCACTCATTCAAAACTAGTAATCTGGCCAAAACTACAAAAATATTTCAAATCTATTGGTGGACCAACATTAGATAGACTGCCCACTAAACAACATGATGTCCAAAAGATGTCTTTTCAATGTCACAAAAGT